GAGGACATTATTTCCTTTACCGCTTAGACATAAGGAACTATTTATTCTAAGAATTCATATCTTTTCCTTATTTTTCAAAAAGTGTTGTTGTTAGTATTTCAGGGTTTAATTTCTGGTATTTATTTCCTTATTCCATTGATAAACTTAATGATATAATTATTGAGAGTTACATTCTCAAGTTATGAGAAAGGGGGAAAGAAGAGCCTCATAGTCATAGATGATTCGAATTTTCCCCAAAACTCACAGTAAAGTATAATGTTAAACACGCTCATTATTTTTAAATATATGACGTATATCGGCATTACAAAAAATATTGCTTGTAGTTTTTCGAATTCGATCAGAGTCGGTTATATTCCACTTATCATTTATAATTATGGTTTTCGAGATCTAAGGCATGGCAGAACAGACAGGCTCAATTGGTGGCAAATACGTGAATTTGTTATTGCATGATTAGATACCGGTATCCAAATGACTAAGATTATAGAAATTCTGATCCTTGAAATGGGGACATTTTTTTTTACAAATATTATGAACTGTCGAAGATTTTACAGAACAATGGATCAATTATGAAAACGTTCTGGACGCTTTATGAAATCATACAATGGATGCTGTTGGATGGAACGTTTGAGGACATGAACATGAAAACCATAAACAAATGCTTCATTTTTTCGTTGGAAACTTTTTCTATCAATGGTCACATAAAAAGTTAAACATTTTAGGTTAGAAACATTCTATGTCACATATATACACCGAGGCTAATATGAACATGAGGCACTGTGAGCAAGGAGTTCATATATGATACCCCAGCCTACAATATTGCAAAGTCCATGTTTTGCTCTCGGAGATCCGAAATAAGTGTAAGATCAAAAAGTAAAATAGCATTATGTAATAAAGAACCCGTCACAATACCCTTTATTTTTATTGAGTCTTGAGTGGTATAGGAGGAGTTGCGGGCAACAGATGGGTACCGTTCAATATTATAGAAAACATCGGATTATTCCATGTTTCCATGTTTTGCTCTGAGAACCCCAAAATAATAATGGAAGACATGACATCCTAAAACTATACATACTAGATATATGTGTTATCAATAAGAAACACGGGCTTATTTTTATACCCCGCTTGAAAAGTGGGATGGTATGCACAATGTAGTGATCGGAATGTCCGTCCATCCGTACATGCGTCTGTCTGCTTGCACGTCTGTTTGTTACGCTTTGGAGTACCCATCTCTCATCCGCAACTCCTCTTCTAACATTGATTGTAATTTAATGAGACTTTCGAAGAATCTTTGATACATAGTGCCATTCTGCACCTCGTATGTTACTTTTTGATCGGATACAAATATATTTTATGCGTAACAAACAGACGTGCAAGCAGACAGACGCATGTACGGATGGACGGACAATCCGATCACTACATTGTGCATACCATCCCACTTTTCAAGCGGGGTATAAAAATAAGCCCGTGTTTCTTATTGATAACACATATCTAGTATGTATAGTTTTAGGATGTCATGTCTTCCATTATTCTTTTTGGAGAATACCATAGGTTTTAATTAGGTTCCCTTACTAACTGACCTGTTTATATTATTTTGAAGAACAATACACATATACGTATATTCAAAAAAAAATTCACGGATAGAAGGAATTTCTTGTGTGCCCCAATTTCAACATTTAGATAAATTGACAACATTTAATAAATTATTATTAGGTAGATTCAATCCTAATTTGATTTTATACTTTCCACTGAACACACAGTAAAACGCAAAACAAAGAAAGTGAGATGTGCTTCATATTTGGATGTTTAACTGCAGAAAAACTTTGACGTCAAATTAGAGATGTAATGACTTCAACATTCACATCATCATTTGCCCTTATTATGTAGCAATATACATTTCATTATTACATCTATTTCATATATATAATAAAGAGTGTTCTACGTATAATAATTTCTAAAAAACAAGCTTGATTTTCGATTGCTTTGAAATTTCAAGCATTCACCATTGTCAAATAATATTTTGATATAATTTTTTTTCCCATGAAATTTTCTATATTCAAGATACAACACAAAAGATCGATAAAAAACCACTATGAAGTTACATGTAACATAGAAGATTGAGTACTGAGTTACAATTGAACATATTTCGAATTGGATTACATTCCCACTTAGTCATTATTACTTTTTTCTATTCACTAATGTCCTGTAAAAACTGTCTGTAACTTGATATATTTTATAATCTTTATACAGTTTCAACGACCTTTAATACTACAGCCTATTCCATTAAACGAATATAGTTTTAAAGAATTTGGAAATTTAAAACGCATCCCCCGCAAAAAAAAAAACTAGCTTTCAATCTCCAAATACAGTGTAAAATGGAAATACGAATTGGAAAAACATCGATTAAAATATAAAAATTGAAATAAGTTTTTTTTTTCTGTCATGGAGTTGTACAATTTCGAGATTTTTAATAAATAATAGATATTATAAGCATTCTATAGAAAAAAAAGCTGAAGATAACGAAACGTGATGGATCTCAAACAATCGGAAAACAAAGCATAACTGTGAAGAATGCATAAACTTAGACCTCTGGAAATTCCAATTGCGGGATCAGGTGAATAGGAGGACAAAAAAGCCTTTTCAACAGGTCACACCCACCATGGGTCCTATGTGTTCATATTATATGGAACATTCTGTAGTCAAACAATTCCGTAGTCGAACACGTGATCAAGTTCTGTGAAGTCAGTGACGCTTTTTTGTAGATTTATTCACGTACTTACATGTACTAAGTTTATTTAAACAATAAAATGCTTTCTTTGTTTGTTATTACTGGAATGAACGGAAGCAGCTGTTGCAGAAAAAATACATAACCCGCGTAAGCGGGTTATGTAAATTTTTTTCTGCATAAAAGCATTGGTTACCCATCGTATGCACATTCCAGTAATAACAAACAAAGAAAGACATTTTATTGTTTATATTTATATCTGTTTAAATTATCATTTTAAGTAGGATTAAAAATATTAATTATTGTGTTAATGATGCGAACGTCTTTGTACGTTTCATTGATGGAACGGCCACTGATCAAGAAATCTGTACAGGTGATATGCCTAATGTAGTTCATGCAGTGATTAACGCAATGGGTTTTCTTAAGAAATAAAGAAGAAAATATTCAGTGGATGTAAATATTTCCCAATGAACCTTTTAACAGTGTTGTGCATTGCTTTTACTTGCATTCGAGACAAATATTCGAAATAGAACTGCATGTTTTACCTGAACGGCCTGCTATAAAGCTAAGTTGTTGCGCGCAATGACCTTGAAATTGTTTGAACTCTGTTTTGCACTAAAACTATTTATTTTTAATTTTTTTTATAATTTTGTCCAACATCACAAAGTCAGAATTCTACATTGTTAAACCTTTTGAAATAGTTTTATAAATATAAGAAATATATATACCCATTTTAAGCTTAACATACAATATATCGCTAAATTAATCTTTGGTTAATGTGCATGCATATGCTTTTGATATTTATTTCTAGAATTTTTTGACATACATATTTCTATAATTACAGAAAATATAATTGAAAAAAACATGTAAAAGCCTTAAATTCCGGAAATTTGAACTTGACCACTTTCGAATGTACGGTATCCGCAAATAGGCGGAGACATTTAAACCGAATGGTTGTGAAATGTAAACATTAGCACATATGATTTTTTCGCACTACGAATTGAAATGGAGAAGAGAGAGAGATCGTGTTATTTTATTGCTAATGAATATCATAAAGTTAAATAAGAGACATATTATCTTCAAAACCTATTCAAATTTGCACACAAATCTCCCATAGTTTGAAGTTGGAAGCAAGAAAGATACTGTTACAACAGAGACTTAAACACAATGAAATTTTCAGTGAAAGCGTTAGCGTAGGTCACGTGAGAAAGGTGATTATAATATCAATCGTTGATGCTCGGTGACCGGTTAATTTAGTAGCTATCTCGACCCTAGTTTTGGGACGTTTTTTAAAAATTAGATATGAGCCGCAACTTGGCCAACATCGTCCTTTGGATATGTATAAGTTTAAGTTAAAATACTAAATACTATATTCTGTGCAATTTTATATATATATATATATATATATATATATATATATATATATATATATATATATATATAGAAAAATATATATATATATATATATATATATAAACAATATATATATATGAATAACAATAGAAATGTTAGACCCCGTCTCAAAAGCTATTGTCGCTCGGCATTTTTTACTGCTTTAATGTAATATAATATACCAAAACCTGCTCTTAAGATTTTGTTTAATAGCTATAAAACATAAATTTAATGAATTTTGGAATTTTATTTTGCGCAAAACATCGGGATCCAACTCTCATAGCTTAAGTGCAGTCATTCAAAGTTTATGAAATTGTGAGGGAAAAAAACACCTTTAAATTTTCTGAGAGAAAAATAATCGAAAAACATTTTTCTTTTATAAAAATATTAGATGGTATTCATTGGATTCGAACCCTAGCAATAAAAATCATAATTATCATTCTACTTTGAGACTAGCGCTTGTTTTTCGTATTTAAAAAAATTCACAATTGCATCTTTTAAAATAAATTCTATAGATTCTGTTCTTTGGCTCTCCGATGCAATTAAATCATTAATAATGAGTGTTTCCTTTTGATCTAGAAAAAGTTCTTTTTTTTCAAAAACCATTCATGAGAGATAACTTTTTTCCATGTATGAACAATTTACTTGCAATTCTCCGGGGAAAATCAGTAATCTTACATAAATGAAATCGATAGTCTTCCTATATTTGACTCCTACTCGCATTTTGTACCAAACTTTAGCAAATGTAATATCGTAAATACACAATAGGATATCAAGTTAGAACAATCAAAAAGCTTTTAAATTTTAATTCACTTAACAGCGATAGAGACACACGTATATAAAGAGAAGTCATTGTAATTGTTGTATTTTTCCAGTAACATATACCATGCACTATGGAAAGATTTTTACGCTGTTGCTGTTTACACTTTGTGAAAGAGGATTTTGTATCGTGGTCCGTATTGATAACTGCAGTATGTATTAATTTTATTGAACTTTCTTTTAAATAATAAACATTTCTTAAGGATTTAGTACCTTGCAAAACGTAAATTTTGTCGTGCAAAATTGGACTGTACCGTGCATAAGCTCCACTTCATGTACCTTTTATCAAAAACACGAAATGTACAATGCTAGAAGCGTACCAAACTGGACAAAAGAAACTCTTTATAGGGATACGGTTTTGGGGTGTAACTAAAAATTATAATTTCTGCAAATACATTTGTATGTTATACTTGTTTAAATATTTGTTTTTTTTTTAATAATTTTGTGATTCAGATATGGGAAATAGGTATATTTAGATTTAAGATATGTGATAATCTATACTTGTAAATTTAAATATATTCATAAAATAAACTCCGAAACGACTGCACATGTACATGAGTTCATACTTACTTTTCTAATATTAAAAAAGGTATGTTTTTATATGAGATGATTTCTTATATTTCAATAATATTTGCATAATAATTCCCATAAATTCAGTTAAAAGTTTTGTTGGTTTTTTTTTTTTCATTTTCGACAAACAGCTGTGAAATAGCAGAAAAGATAGTACGGTGGTGTTTCCGTTTGAAGGATCCAAGTTTGTGACAATTTCAATAAAAATGACGAAACGGCAATCGTGTAATGGACTTAATTATTTGATTGAATATTTTTTCTGAGTTATTAAATTAATTTTGATATAAATGCAGTAGAAAAGATGTTTTGAGTACTTTTTAAAAAAATTTTTTAAATGCTAATCTTTTCCGTTTATATCATAGTCTTGATGAAAATCTATAGAACGTCAAAAGTCATATCAAAAAGAAAAACGTGACGATTTTTAATAAAAGCATTATAAAAAAAACAAAAAAAAATGGTGTGAATGGTCATTGAAATAATGGTAGAGCAACTCATTTCACTAAGAGTCATGACAATTTTGAATTATTGAAGGACTCTGAGCAAGTTGTGCTAATAAATATACATGCAGCATTAAAATTTGTATACCTGCCCGGCATAATGAGAATGAATCCGATGTGCTATTATGACAAAGTAAACTTGCTGAAGACAAAAAGTCAATAAATATGGTAATGATAAAATATATGAAGTAAAAGTTGATTATTGTAATTTTATATATACTTGAGCTGTTTAAAATAAATGTGTGCATTACAGGTTTTTTTAACCTACAGTATATATTCAGACGTATTCCTTTACTTTGTATTTATTTTTAATCTTTGATGGAACAGAGCACTCAAAAGTTTAAATTTGAAATAATACTAGGTTAAACAGGTATAAAAATATAAAGATGATAAAATGTGAAGTGCAATCGTCAAAAAAAGAGAGAAAAAGATATAGGGGTGTGTCTTATTTACTTCTGCTTCTAAACTTCTGGACTTTGTATAACAAATTTCTTAAAATTTCTAAAACATAAAGTTTTCTAAGTGGACAAAAATAAAAAGTTATGAATAAATATCAAAGCTAGAATTCGATTTCTCACTCCTTGAATAAAAAATTCAACATCATACATGTAGAATAATAAATATTGATGCAGAGGAAATTTAAGTTTAATTTTTTTCAGATTCATTTCTTTTAGCGATATTATTCTCGAGTTAAGAATCTATGAATTTTTGTATGTTAAAATGGTTGCATATTTCAGAAAGTATTCAAAAATTATAAGCAGAATGAAATACTGAAAATGTTTCTTTTTTTCCAGACACGTCAAAATCCTACGTGAACCATTCTCTTCCAGATCGGCCCGAATTTTATCGCAGTATACATTTACAGAAAGTACATTTAGTTGGAGAAAGTTTTGGAACAGTTGTGTTTTGTTTGGTGAGAAATATTCATTATTTGACTTTTAACTGTTACATGTGCCATAAATGTTGTTTCCTAGTTTAGCATCAGGAATGTCCTTAGAGTGGAGGTCACGGTGATTTCTGCGTGAAATTGATATTTAAAAGTAAAGTACCGTAGATTCATATAAATAAGTGTAAATCCTTGTATAATTTTTTTAAAATTTATAATGTTCCAAACTGGAATCCACTTCATTCTATAATGATTTTTAGGATAAATATGTGATTAGTTTGTTCAACAAATAAACAATTTCTCGTTTTGTAATAAATTTATCAAATTATTTCGCATTTTTGTTGCCTTGTTAAGAAAAATAATTTTAAAGGTATGTCACTCTTCAACTTTTTAGAAAAGTTAAATCAGAACCTTTAACTTCAAAACAATTTATTACAATTCAATTTGCGTAATGTATTTTAATTAAACAATGTAACCTTGTCAATACTGAATTTAAAAAAACTGCTCACAAATTAATGAATACTGTATAGGGGGAAAATAACTCGCGGTGTTAATATTCGCTATATTCACAGTGTAAATAAACTGAATTCAACAAATTAATAAATTTTTAATAATATTTATGGGGGATAACATAGGTTTATATACATGTTCGTGCAGTACATAATCATTTCAGTAATCACGAGTAGTACTTGTTATTCAGTTATTTTAATAATACTTTAATTCAAGCAGGCAGATAATAACCTGTATTTGTTAAAAAGCTGTTTTAATAGCCAACGCTATATGTTCATCAATTTTGACCATGGGTTTTGGCCCGGTGAATTTCTACGTGTAAACTGCATTAACTGCATTTTAGTTTTAAAAATTCATTCAAATAACTATTGAATAATCACTTAGCATTAACTCATTTATATGGTGACTGTGGTTTTTTCGCGTTATAAAAAATGTTGTCTATGTATGCACTCATCGTAATAGCTAGCATATATGCATTATGTTTACGTCACAAAATGCTTGTTTTAATTAATTTCAATTATATTATTAAAAAGTTATTTCATAAACCAATTTTCAAGGGAGTAACTTTTATTATATATTTGTAACAATTTGATATAGAAAGCGCAATCTCTGGAAAAAACGTGAAAATATGCAACTACTATAATGATAGCAAAATTTATGGGGGACTTTTCTCGTGGTGGAAGGGTATTTAGAAAACTCTGCAAATCTACACATTTGTTAGATTTAATACCTTGGAACTAAAGAGAATGTGCTGAGAATATTTTTTTTGATATGCTTTGAATATATACTCAATTGATACTGAATAAAATTTATACATTCACTCAACAAATTGAAGAAATAAACATTGAAATTTACATCGGTTTTTTTTTTTTGTTTTAAAATCGCACATTTTGACCAATATATCAAAGAAAACTTACCACATATTTTTGTCTCTATTTTTATTTAAATGCCTCATAAAAATTAGAAACAAGAAAATATTTTATTGCGTATTTGTATTTTAATACTATAAATATGATACTTTTTAGTGCAAAAAGGTCACACATTACACTGTAAAAAAAAAAATTTTAATGTCACGAAGAAAAAGTAAATTCACTGATACTCTCTAATACCTTGGAATTTAAGCCCCGTATATTTTCACTTTGAGAATATTTTCCGTTATGATATGCCTGTAATATTAAATATAGGTCTCAATTTATACTTTTAGAATAAAATTCATATATTTACTCACCAAACTTTGCCAAGAAATGAAGATATATTTTGATATTTATATCGGTTTTTTGTTTTAAAACCTTACATCACTTCACCCAATCTTTTTCTTTCATTATTTTAAACAACACTATACTTCCAACTGATCTGCCCATAAAAATTAGATGCAAGAAAATATTGTATTTCGTATTTGAATTTTAATGTTACAAATATGTTACTTTTTTAGTGCGAAAAGGTCACACATTAATTAATGCGCATTAATTTGCATGATTTGTTCAGTGACAAATATTATTCAGACTGTTTTACGTAAAATAAGATTATATGTATTGCAATGATTACATCTGAAAAAATATGATAAAAATAATGTGATTAACCAAAAAGAAAAAATTTAAGTGCAAAAAGGTCAACTTAATTGTACCTCAGGTCAGTTAATGCACACTGCCTTCCTATCTTCTTTGTGATTTTGAGTCATACCGTATGAGTACTTATCTAAATTATACTTCTCAAAAAATCCTTCATAGAACTTATTGAACAAGTGACATACCTTAAAAAACAATATTTTCCTCATTCCAACAGATTCATGAAATTTATATGCAACTAAAGTATTTGGAGACCAGATTACCACAGCCAATGGATGACTTCTTTTGCTCTAGGCCTTGTAAACGGAGCAAATCAGAGGGGACAAAGGTAAGATTTTATATTCAACTTGTTTGCATGTTGCGTTGTATTTGGTCTAGCTAAGTTAAAATGTTTTTATACCAATTTTATAGAACTAACCCCGAATGCCCGAAGCTTTAAGAATACAAAAGGCCCACGGTAGGAGTTAATAGTATAAAAAGATGCTTACTCCTTTTGGGCGTCTTATACTTCTGGTTTTTGAGGGGTTCCCGTTTTGTCCTGTTTTGGGTCTTTTTTTTTTTGCATATGAGAAATACGAGATAAATGACTTCTTTTTCAAATTATTACTTTCACCTTCTTTTTGTCTAAAGGTCAACGCATATTCCTGGGTTTTTTTTTCAGAGGGAAAAAAATTCATTTTCGGTAAATGCGAAACATCAAATGGACTGGTTTAACCATGGTGCAGCTAACTTGAAGGTAATCTCTGATGATAATTCACGATAATTCCAATCTTAATTCTATTTATTGATTCCCTGTGTTTTGATTGGACGAGAACAAATTCAAGAAAAAGTTTACACATCGATGAATTTTTCAATCAGAACTACTTTCTTGACTGTTGTAAAAACAATGAAATCAGATACTTCTACTCCGTTTTAGCTAAATTATGATTACAAGAAACTGGAATTAAAAAATGAATGAATGAAAAGGAGATAAACAGCCAATGACAGACGGGAATATTATGTTTATGTCACTGTCGGAACGAGTGTTAATTTTAAAAAAATCGCTGATCATGATGAAATTTTTTTTCCATATTCAGTTGTATATTCGTTGTGATTGGAAAAGAAAGTTAAAATCTTGCCTTTTCAGCATCAAATTCATATATTTACATCCTACAGATCCCATATTCTCCCTAAATCTTTGAACGAACCAGAGTAAAAGGCCTCGGTCTGCAAGTTTCGCTATGACGTCGTATATAAAGCCATGGTCAAGGACGAATTATTCTGGAGAATACGCGTATTTACGATATTTGTTGGACTAAAAAACATTCAATGAGTTTTTATAAGTTTATTTTATTGATTGCTTTGACAATTTAAGTTGGATTTTATCGATATTCATCTTGTATACGTTTCTTTGCGGCATAAAGTATTCCTACGCCGTACAAAATAACGAAATGTATGGCGGCCTCAAAGAGAAATAATTTTAATAATTTCAAAAATTGTAATTGGAAGCATAAGAATTAAACGTTCTTTTTTCAGAATTTATCTAACCATGGTGCAGCACAAACTTTACATAAAAGGTAACCTCTGATGATAATTCACGGTAGATGAGTAAGAAAAACTTAAAAAAAACTGAATAGGCCAATTGATTCAACCTCTGATACATGTACCAACTCTGGTGTTTCTGGTTGTTCGTGTATTCTCTGCTCCCACATTATATTGTTTTAATGGACTTTAAAGGTTGAATATTGTTCGTTATTTTCATGTGTATTTCGAAATAGACCACGAAGCGCTATAATATTGAAACATTTAGTTGAATAATTATCTTTAGCATACTGATTCCAATGACAATTAATATCTTGAACCAAGGTCATAACTCAACGGTGTAGCTCAGTTGGTTAAATCTGGGAGTAGATATGCGATCGCTAGTATTTGAGGAAGATTTAAAGGGGGTGAAGGGGGGTGCTTTAACTGGTGGATATTTGTCAGACGTTTTCAAGAAATCTATATAAATGTAAATTGTACCAAATGTTTTCCGTCTTATATTTTATTGATCAATTTTCAGATTCTCAAATTACTGCTTCACAGTTTTGTGGAATATCAAGAGCAGCGTCCTTTGATATAAAGATGCTGGGAATTATTACATGTATACTCAAAAAAAAAACTCGGATAAAGACAGACCTCAAGGAAATTTTAAAATGACTGAATGGTTGCTTTGATTACTTTTGTAAATGATTAATATACACTTTTGATATTATCAAATTATTAATAAACTTTAACACCTTTTTCTGGTTTTGTTTATTTATTTTCTTTGCGATAGAACTTTTGAAAAAAAAGTTTGAAAAAATAAATTATTAAGTAATTAGGCGAATAAAATGCTACTTAGCAAGCAGCCAGAATGATAATCTGTTGCTATGGTGTTTTTTTCCCTTTATAAAGGACATTTATCATTATATAAAAGAAATTCGTCTTAGTTTTTGGCATTCATACTTTAAAAACACCATAACTGATTTAAATATTTCTTGATATACATTTATCGATTATATTACATTTTTCATGGTCATTGTTGCTGGGCTTATCCTTAGCGAATCTGATATGGCCAATACTAGCAAAACTTGCAATCTTGGCGTCATAATGCTTCAATATTGAATATTATAAATTCATGTTAAAAAGTTTGATTTAAAATAAAATATGATCTGAATATACTTTTTTAAATATAAATTATCAAAAATGCCTTTTATTTGCTCTTTATGAAATACAAATATAAAAGCCTACGCCGAATATTCCTGTCATGGTAGCATTGTTTTTTTATTGCTACGTTATGTAATGTACGATATTGAGTAATGCATAAAGTCTGAGTGTTTTACAATGAGCTCACAACTCTCTGGCTGGGAATATGATACGTGCTGATGCTACTAAAACGATTTTTCCTTTATTTCTCGATCATGACAAGGAACACACCGCGTTATGTCCGGTCGGCAGGGGATGGATATTCGCTTCTCCCCGGTACCTGATCCCACATCTGATGTTTTAGAGGTCAGTGATTGCTCTGCTTCAAAATGTGTATTGTTTATTTAATGGACTTTTGAGCTTGAATTCTATTTGTTGATAAATTTCTTCTTATATTTCTCGTCTGCAGTTTACGTGCAAAAATGGTGTTTGTGAACTGCTAATGTAAATCTCGTTCGTTGTTATTTTGACACTTTTATGGCAGAAATAATGAAAAAGTTCATATAAACTTCAAATTATTTCTTTTTTACTATCACGGCAAATGCAATCAGTTTACATACATGCAAAATATGCATATTGTGTCTTTCCTTTTACTAGTACCTTTGTCGTTTTTTACGTCAATAAAACATTTTTATATAACTTTCTGTTCTTTGAGGAGCCCCATATCTGTTCAGTTCGTTACTGTACATGTATGTGTGGAATTAATGTGTCAAGAGGTTATCTGAAAGTTCACATTTCGTAACTTCTATCAGAAATGTGAACAAACCCAGTTCGGGAGAACTGTTGCAGAAAAGACATAGCAATGTTTTCGGTATTATTAACATTTGGTCTCATTCCAGCTGTAAGTATACAAAACAGTTTTGTTTACTTGAACAGGCCTAGGAAAATAACTACAAACCTTGATTTGATAAGGCCAGGTAAAATTAATCTTTAGATTCTCATCCTAATTTGCGGGTGGGCGGGTTTTATTTTTTATTTTTTATAATTGTTAAATTGTAATATACAAAACATGGACTATTGTACACATTTTTTCATTATGTTAATGCCAATATAAATAGATTTTATTTTTTCGTATTCTTTTAAATATTTAAAGAAAATTCTTGCTTAAATAATTAGATATTTATTGTTAATAACAAATTTCTGTACACAAAAACGGCACACGCAACACAAAATGAGGTGGGGTTCTGATCAATAAATTTTGTATGCATGACTTCTCATCGGCCTTTTCCTATATACCCTTTAGTTTTACCTACAGATCCCTCTGTTTTCTGTATAGATTTACCTTCCTCAAAAATTGGATTGTTCCTGAGATTGACATGTTCGACAATAAAATAGGTCATATTTACAAAATCTATAAAATATTCTAATAAAATATCCTCGAGAAAACCTAGGCCTGAACAGTTTTAAGATTTAACATTTTCTTAGCACTAAAACAAACTGCCTACAATGTTTTATTTTTTTTTTCAAGCAAATCACACACAGCTGGAGATCATTAAAAAGAGGTGTCATTTTCCATGTCTATTTTTTATATGTCTTAAAAAATCTTAAAAACCTTGCTCATGCCAGTGATTATTAACATTTTTTCTCTGCCTTCTCTATACTGACAAGTAATCTTTTCCTTACATATCTAAACTGCTTTTATTACAAATTCTTCATGGCTACTTTGCTATAAATAGCGACACGCGACTTTTAATACAGACGGGAGATAACTCTTAAACTTCACCCAAATTCTTACTGAATAAAGATAGTTGAAAATGCCTTTATTTACACCCAAAAATCAAAATAAAAAACAAGACCTTAAAGATTAATTTTATCTGATAATGCAAAATAATTTTATTTTCAAGATGAAAAAAAATAATAACGGCAAAAAACTGTTTTTCATGGTTTATGCTATTAACTTTTTTATAATAGGTATTGTCTACGACGACTCACCATCCTCATCACACAAGGCCGCATGCGCACCATCTTGTTAACGAAGGCTTTGCTTTTCATTACGATCATACAACGGTATATAAGAAAGAAATCCCTCTCTTTTAACATCCCGAAATTTGACATATTTCTTTAATTGTGCATTTTTAGGTTCAAAACCTTATTTTTTTGTAATAATTTCGCAGCACATCTTGGCCTTGACAATCACTGGCCGCCATCACTGTTATCTCTATGTGTTATCTGCCATTGAACAGCAAAGCGTCCATACAAGTGCTGGTCTCCATGCTATTGAGGTAAATCAAAGTACATTCATGTAGCATAGTTTAACAAGCAAATTCTAAGAAATGTGCACCTCCAGTTTTGGTGTCTGAATGGTTAGGATGCTTTTCTTTTTATCCAATTGTAACTCTCCTTTCTCTGTACCCTGTTTTGAATTTCAATTATACAAAAAAAGGTTGCAATGTTTGATATAATAAAATTTCAGCGAAGGTTCAAATCTCTTCAAACAACATCAATACATAGCATATGTGCAAATTTTTAAATGTTGATGTTATGATAACTTATTGTAATATTTTTTAACAGAAAAATATGATAGACCTTGTGGATTCGCATACATCTACTGCAACCTTCAACTTCCATGATCTTAATCAACTCAGCCACAATCTACGTGTGTTTTGTGGGCAGGTCCCGGCAGTCAAACTAAACTAAATGTGACATTCAACATTTAACAAATGTGATAGTTTTGTCAAATAAAGTCTGCATATTCTTAGTTATCCTCTTGGCTTTATTTGATAGACCTTTACAAAATATGAAAACTTAATATTTACAAAAGACAAATGGCATCAAAGCATCAAATCGACACGCAATCAGAGATTCGCCAATTTACTTCACAGGAACTAAGATTAGAAGAAAAACATTTGTGGCTGATATTAATTTTTCTATTATAAAAGTTTATAAAATATTATCCCTTTAATCTTTTAACGAGGTTTAGAATTTTTAACAAAACATATCATCAAACTAATTATTCTACTTTGAAATTCTCCATTCAATAGACAACAAAAAGAAAACTGGATCAAGAAACTATAGGCAACAAAAACAATGTAGGAAATCTCCAAAGCCCGCACATTGCAACTTGGAATGAGATGAGACTTGTTTACAATATACCTAGACGTAGAGGTATCATGCATGAACATCATTCATACAATAGATCATACAATAGACCAAATATATATAATTTCTGTTTTAATTTTCTCACTTTTCCTTATGCAAGTTAAAATGAAACCCATGGAGATACAATGTAACATCTTCGCTAGTTTTCCGATCCGAATAGAGTAAATTTCGGATCGGAAACCCTTGGCTAGCAAAGATGTGAAGATAACAAATAGTATTCAAGCTCATAAGTCCATTACATAATAATAAAATTTGAGCAGAGCAAACATGGACCTCTAAAAAATCAAAGCTGGGTTCAGGTGCCATTGAAGAGTGAGCATCTTCTGCTGACCGGACACACCACCCGTGTGCTTCTTGTCATGATCGGGAAATAGCGGAGAAATCCGTCGACAATTCAGTGTGTATGTAATGGCCTAATAATTAGTAAAAAAAATGCAGTCATCTTTTGACTGAATGATAAATTATATTTGCTGACAAGTTCATAGAACATTATGAAATGATGACTTTAAACGAAACCGCTGATAAAATTGTGTCACCAATTTGTTTGTCAATATTTCACTTCGTTTAAGATATTGTTCATACGTACATCTTCGCTGGCCAAGGGTTTCTGATACGCTACTCTCCTCATGAGGAGAGTAGCGTATCAGAAACCCTTGGCTAGCGAAGATGTCATACGTAGAGCAAAGTAGTACTCTTGCATAATTAATCAACTGAGAGATATAAAACCCGAATGAAAGTGATGAAGGTATATTGCTACATATGCAGGGAAAATTGACGATTGAAACGTTTACCATAAAGCTTGGTAGTAAAATTTCCATTTATGTCTTTTTCAAGTTAAATATCTAAATATGAAACAAATGTGTCAGACTTTGTGGTATCTTTCATTTCAAGATCATAGCGATATATCGTATCGACACACATGTTAGTCCGAAAAATCTGACGTTTTTCTGGCTTTTTTACGATTTTGATATTTTACATGCCAGGAAAACGTCAGAACCGGCGCCATTACGAAAACCGGGAATTTCACCGTCTTCGAAGTTTATTTTCTATACTTGGGAACCGAATTAGATGCCGAAATCACAATTTATCAATGGCACAATGCTCCTAGAACTCACCAATATCGATGAATAGAAATTACCACTCCACATTCCGATTCAGAACTTGCACGATTTTAAAATGCACGAAATGAAACAAATCTCAACAGTCAGATAAAATGTGTTCATCGGATTATATTATTTCATAAACAGTACATAAAAACGATGTTAGTGAGTACTAAAGGTGTAGTACTATTGATAAAATGTGAATTCAGCATTTAATTCGGTTTACAAGTATCGAAAATCAACCTCTAAATGCCGCCTCCGGTTGGAGGCGGCGATTTCCTAGTTTTCGTAATGGCGCCGGTTCTGACGTTTTCCTGGCATGTAAAATATCAAAATCGTAAAAAAGCCAGAAAAACGTCAGATTTTTCGGACTACACACATGTAGGAATGGAAATAACCATTGCTAATTGAAAGTACGTCGTCGGTATAATATCTAAATATCGAGTTGAAGACCTCAGCAAGTGTTTTCATCTTTTCTCGTATGAATTTTTGGACAAAGGACAAGTGCACATAAGCAATGCTTAATGGGCCCTTTTTATGTGCCATTTTACTTTGGAATATATAACCAAATCGTTCTCTTTCGGAAATAGTAATATACTAGTGTATATTTCTAATTAAAAAGCACGATAATCACCCCCATAATCGACAGGGATTTGAGACAATTTACTCTTCTTAAATGCCTATATGGACACCCTAAAAATCCGGAAAAGTCGAACCGAACCTTCTTTTAGTTTCGTTTATGTAAATCAAGGCGAAGAGATCTTGAACAATCTGATGGTGGATCATAGTCGGGCGCGTTTGTGGAATGTAACTTTATTGTGCTTTATCTGTTTTAAAAAAAATGAAAGAAGTTCTGTAGTTGCCTGTAGCCATAATAATCAAACTAAGAAATCGGTACTAGTACTCTTGCATTTGAAAAAATATATACCATAAATTGAATTTGAAATCTAAAGGGAGTGTTTAGGTGGCTTTCAATACCTGTTTCATTGTCTTGCATAAATGTTAAAAATGTCTGACACTTTTATGAGTTGTGCTAAACTCTCTTTACCCTACCGTAATCTTAAATATAGATACATAGAAATATTTTTAGGCGGCACAACTTTGACAAAATGATAAAAAAAAACCTGCCGATGTTTTACAGTGAGCACCTTTGAGGAATGTTTACCTTGGTAGAACTCACGTGACTATCAGTATTTTAAATAATTTATTCCACAAGTGGGTTCAACATGGGTCATACAGGTAAATACCTCTCACTTGCTATAGGAAAAACATTGTACTTTTTGTAAATTTTTAATTTTTTAACTACCGGCCTAATCGTGTACAAATTTCCTACTTTCACACCAGTTTTATAAATGTATTATGCGTCTTTTGTCATTCGCACAAGTTTGTACAAAGTTAGGCTCATAGTAAACAAAGGCTTTGAAATGACTGACCGTTCTCGATTTACTATAGAAAATCACAAATGTCGGTTGACCCCTGCCGCATTCTATGGTTTTGTTCTTTGTAAATACTTGAATTTCAGCGGTAAAATTTGTTGAATCTTATGGTTTAGATATCAATTAATGATTTGGGAAGAAAAATTTTGCTTAGTTTGAATGTTTATTTTTTCACATTTTACCGGGGCCCATAAGTGCACTCGTTCTTTGCTTCATATGGATACAAAAATTGGTCAGCATATATAACGAGGCGCGAGTTGTATCCATGCGAATTCCAACAGATTATGGTGGGGCATGGTCTCCAAAAACCACATAGAGAGTGTTAATAAGAAATTCAAGAATCTTTAAATACATATATAAACTTCAGAGTACTTGTGTGTACAATCAGAACGTTTTTTAACTAGAAAAAAATGATTTTGCAAAAGACTAATGACAAGACAAGTAAGTTTTCGAGTTCCATTAGGTTGATATTTTACTTTCATCAAAATTGTAAGTCGAAAATGAAATTAACATCAAATAAATGATTTAACGTCATGTAAAATTACGTCATTTTGATGTTGCTGAAATTGACACCAACACCGTGCGCAACGGATTTCTTATTTTCAAAAGAATAAAACAAAAAAAAAAAGTCAGTAGTAATTATATATCTGCTGTACAAACCCACATAACCTAAAGTTGTGCTATTTGACGGCCTACAAGTTTCTATTGGACCTTCACATAGGTCGTACAAGAATGTTCTTATTAGACTGGTATTGCATGTCTTTACCGTACGCAGGAATATCGGATATCAGACAGGCAAGCCAGTCTATGTTCTTAATTAAAATGTTATAATCCGGAAATAAAAAGGACCTCGAAATAGTTTTCCTTGTTATATTCGATAGTTAGGTTTCCTGTTTGATAAAAAAGTAAACAAACCGTGTAACGTGTTTGTGTATATTGAAGAATGCCACAGTGTAGCAGCGGCTGTATATCTGGTACATGTAGCTGTGATTTATCAGGTTTGTTTTTTGCAGATTTTCTCAAACCTTTCAAGTGATAAAGATTAATTTGCTGTTCATACTTTTCAGTCGGTGATACAGTTATTAAACCACGTGTCTGCATGTACCTTGTACAGATGTTAAATCATCAGCTGATCATGTATAATTCAACAGCTGTTGAATGATTTATTTTGTATCATTCAAATGACCAAACACACTATGTCTCATTTTACATGTAGGGGTATAAAAACATTATTTTGTAAAGTAATTTTTATTGGTGGAGTATTAAGGTGACTTAATCATTGTTAGATGTAATAGTTGGGACCTATATAATTGTTCCTGTTTCAATGTTAAGATCCAAAAATAGCCTTACAGTACTAGTGCATAGGCTAGGACACAACGTTAACGTAATCGAGGGTTCGCTCTGTAAAATAGGTTAGTGCTTAATGCTGAACTGCACAGACAATCTGCATGATTGTATATTCCATGACACTTGCACGTGTTTACTTTTTTGTACAATTATGTTGGCTACAAAGCTCTTTAAGAGAGGATAATTTTTATTTACACAATACTTACACTTAAAACTATGATACATTTTAATGTAAACCTTCGGAAAATTTTTTATGATTATTTCTGTCTTATTGATTTTCATTCATGCGTAAGCTCAGGGGATTATAGTTGTGCAAATTAAAGTATTCTTTATCTCAAGGACTGCATGGAAGATAACATCGATTGTTGAGAAATTTAATGATACATGTAAAACATCTTGAGATCATATACTAGCCTAGATCTCTTTGAATCGTTCTATACTAGGTTTAAAACTTTTTAGCTTTACGATGTTTCTGACTGGATTTGTTTTAGCTAGCGATTTAGTCAACCCAGTCTTGCTTTTGTGATAGTAGAACACCTTTGTCAATCGAGATCAAAATAATCGCCTTATATTAGATTTAAGTTAAATCGACACATATTTCCACTCTGGCGTAAACATGGTAAATGATTTCTGAATATTTATTCTAAATTAAATACCCTGCCATTTGTTGCCTAAACAGGTGTTCTACAAATATTTTATTAATTACGACGTCGAATTAATTCACACAGATATTATCATATGAGGTGAAGTGTAAATAACGGTACATGTACGATGTAACATGCGGTCATTTAAAAGTGTGTCAATTTGGATCCAGCAATAGCTTTATGTGAATGTTTACAACACAGGTACGTTCTTTTTTTGAGAGAGATTACATGTGTATAGATGCATTATAGGGGTCATGAAATTAATGTACCCTTTTTAATCACCGCTACCAAGCATTCTAAAACCTGACAAACAATAGCGTTGGGGTTGGAGCTCCTTAACCTCTCATTCTCATTGACACGCTTATTTCGAATGTATAAAAGCTCTGTACTCATATACACACAGCCACACAAAAAATTGTTAAATGTGTATATTTTGGACACAAGGTGGGAGAGACCAACTCTAATCCACCAGTGTAGCTAGCCGGGGCAAACAGTTTGGGGTCAGGATAGGGGCCCATCACATCAAAATAACGATTTATAAATCATGTATATTTTGGACACAAAAAGGGGACGAGTCCCCTGTGGCCTCTCTAAATCCGCCAGTGATAATCCCACAAACGTCTTTGATGTACAATTTCATGCAGCATTTCCATCCTTCATAAGTCTTGTTTAACTTGCCCTTTAAAATATCGTTACACAGGTCCACATGAATGATTTATGAATGTGCAATGTACTTTACCAGATTTATTTAGCATTCTTTCCGCATAAATTCCTATGTCGTTCCTTTTTCAGACGAATATTGGATTTAGACGGTGATATTATTTAGATGATATAGCGCTGCGAGCTGACCGGAAATTTGGTAAAAATGGCGCATCTGGTGTATTTCAACGGGCGTGGACGCGGGGAATTGATCCGCCTGATGCTAGCAGCTGCAGAAATCACGGTATGTGTTTGTATATTGTCATTATAAAGCTTTGACATAGAGATAGAGAGGGATGTAATTTTGCAAAAAGACAAATCTGTTGCTTGAAATACATGTTCTGTGAAGTCAAACATGTATAATTTATCTCATGGTATGTTTTGTGAACCTTATATGGAAAAGTCGTAATAATTAATTTAGATTGTAAACGCTGTTTTGTAATTATTTTCGGAAAGTGCTTTTCAATGACTTTGAATTTTGTTATTCAATCATATTTTTGAATGAAACGCTAAATGTCTTAAAATTATGTACTCATGAATGAATATGATCATTTTGCGACAAGCATTATATCAAACGCAGATTTGTCTGTTAAAATCGCATAAAAATATTCTGTATTTAACGATAACTTTGTAATTATGTCTTGTTATTAGTTTACAGAGAGTTTTTTGACCCAAAGAGAGGAATTCACGAAATTAATTCAAGGTAAATATACTTAAGTCTAACATTTTTGTCTTTTTAATACGTATCCTTCGTAAATGTGTGCTATAGTGACATGTTATTTTTACTGACAATTAAACCGGTGCAAATGCTACCAAGTCATGAAAGCGTGACTTCAAATTTGCGTGGGATGAAAACCTCCCAAAACTACATACTTAATATATTGAAGTAAACTTTTTTTTTTGATCAAATTTAATTTTAAAAATAAATCTTTGCACAGTGTATTTTAAGCCCCAAATATTTAGTCTGCAAATTCAAGCAAACAAATTTTAGAAGCAGGTTTTAGAAATCTAAGCGAAGCACAATATATCCATGAATTTTGAATATTCAAATGTTTACATTATTTTATAGATGGTTCTTTGCCATTTAAACAAGTCCCACTTCTTAAGATTGATGATATGGAATTAGTGCAAACAAACGCTATCGTCCATTATGTGGCGCGAAAAGGTCATCTGTATGGAGCAGACGATAAGGAGGCAGCAATGTAATAAAGATTTTTATTTAATTTCTTTCATGCATTTTTATTATTTTTTTTATTCATGTCCCTTGAAAATATGTTAAATTTCAAATAAAAATATTTTTTTAAATTTACATCTTCGCTAGCCAAGGGTGACGATCCGCTTCTCTCCCCTTTTCAAAAGAAAAAAAATAAAAAAAAAAAAATGTGAAAATTTAGCTAGCGAAGATGTTTTATTTATAACAATTTGAATATATATATTTTTTGGTACATAATATTGATTATGTTGTGAAATAACATGCTTGAAATTATTTGTTTACAGAATCGACATGTATTACGAAGCATCACGTGACTTTTTTATGGTGTTTTTACCGGTGAATTTCTTGAAAACGGAAGAACAGGCCATAACAGACGCAAAGAATGCAGGAGATGACAAATATTTCCCTGCCCTTGAAAAGGTATTAAAAAAGAGGATTTTATAAATATGATTTTAAGAAAAAATAAATCGTGAGAAATATGTAATACAAAGTTGATTTTATAGAAAGAAAATTAAAGACACTCAGATATTAAGTGCATTTGTGTCATAAAAAAACTAACGACTACGTACATTCACCCCTACAGATTCCATAAAAGATTATATCTTCAATCTTCTATTATTTAGATTTAATATTCAACTTGATTTGTTAAATTTCTAATAATTTTATTCTCCGTGCCGGATCTTGCAACATGGTGTTAATAGGATTTATGGCTTGATTATTTAACTTTGTGTAAAAATTCCAAGTACAGATGTACCTTGCATACACCAAAGCCCACTATCTCTTGATGAGTGAAGTTCGCAGATTTGATTACTGCCTAGCCTTTTAAGAAATGAATATGTATTATATGTATATCAGATTGTTGGAATATCCTATGATGAAAATAAACGTAGAAAATAATTGTAGGACATTTATAATAATAAATGTCATACCTGAAATATAACGTTATCTGCAGGACAATCCGAAGTTTAAAACAAAATGAATTAATGTGAGACTATTTGTAACAGAGACTGACAGAGAATGGTACAGGGTTTTTAGTCGGGAAGTCCTTGACGATGGCGGATGTAGGATTTCTAGAGGTGTTATTGTTGTGTGTGGAATATGGGGGAGTAAACTTCTTAGATAACTATAGCGAAGTCAAGGTAAGCATTTTAACGAGTTCTCTACCTTTATACCTCTTCAGGTAGATAAATGCAATATTATCTGTCAATTTCCTAGCACTTGTTTACAAATATAAGACTTTTAGTGAAAAAAGCAAAAGCTAAGTAATGGATAAGCATAGTAGTAATCACCCCATTTCTAAACAAAAAAAGTGCATACATTCAATAATTACATGAATATAAAAGCGATCAATATATTTTTTTCATATTTTGTAGAAATACTACAACCGATTGATTTCTATACCTGCAATAGCTAATTTTCTAAATGGTCCACTTCGGAAGAGAAAGAACGATGAACAATATGTAACAGAAGTTAAACGAGTTCTTAATCGAAAATAGTGTCATGTACTGGTAATATATTGTTAATTTATTAAATATTTTTAATGAACTGATATATTTATGCTTGAATGTCTGTGATGTTTTGTTGGGTTTTAACTGGATTTTTAGAAAATTCTGACATTAGGTATGTATTGATGATACTAAACGTTTGAGGGAAGACGGGAGTCTTTAATGATAATACTAAATGTAAGAGGATTTAGATACAAAAAGTATTATATGGAAATATATGACTATTTGTAAATCATTATTAATTGCTTTGGTTTTTTTTTTAAATTTTAGAAGAAAGTCTTTTTCATTGTGAAACTTGAATATTTAAAATTAAAAACATATTAATCGAAATTCGTCAGATATTAAAAAATATGCAGTGATCTAATTAATTTTATCTTTTATGAATTGTTTTATGTGCTATTCATTACACTTCTTATTGTTAATTAACTTTTAATCGATGGCAATTTTAAAAGTTAGTTTTTAAAATAAGAATTAGGTACTGTACAACTTTGTTTTAAAAACCTTTAAATTCATACATTTTGTACATGTGCATTATCAATGATCATGTATCTGCGAAAATTTTATAAAATAAAGCGTGTCATCTTTGCTTATGAAGTTTTTGATGATTTTCTTCATCTTATGATACTTTTTGTAATGAAACTGTAAAATTTTCACCGTATAAACCGAGGTCCCGTGTCGCGATGCTTGCACGAAGAAGATGCCTCCCTGCTCAATGGCCCTGAGTGCCATGTGAATATTCTCCACCGGCAAGTGATGGGATAAACAATATACATTCAATCAGTCAATCATCTTATGATATTTTTGTAATGAAACTGTAAAATTTCCATCGAGATATTCTCGTATCTACATGTTGAATTTGAACGAGGTGTAAGGATCCTGGGTTAAGTGCAAGTTGTTATTGAATATTCAGTGAAAATGATTCACATTGTGTTTTCAAGTACTATTGTTATACCTCAAGCCTGAAAAGCAGGGATTATATAGTGACAGGGGTGCATGTCCGTCCGTTATGCTTTGGGAGACCAATCTTATCCACAAGTCCTCTCATACCACTCAATGAAATTTAATGAAACTTTCACATAATGTTTGTTGCATTATGCCATTGTTCGATTTCATCCATTTTATTTTTTATTGGACACATATTTCGGGCTTCCTGTGGTAAAACATGAATTCATTCATTCTTTCTATAACATTGAAGGGTACCCATCTTTTTCCCAACCCTTATCAATACTTCTCCTATATCACTGAATGAAATTTTAATATAAGGATGCTTTCAAAGATTCTTTAATACAAAGTCCATTGTGTGCCTTCTATTTTACTTTTTTATCCGACACTTTTCGGGCCTCTAGAAGAAATACTGTGAAATCACTTATCTTCGTGGTGGTTTAATTTTGTTGTTGATGAAATCTTATTCCAACAAAACAATGTTTGTTTTTAGCTAAAATTTGAAAATCTGACCACACGAGAAAATGTGATTTTACAGTACATTTCTTTGTTACTCTTATCTTTTGGGAGGTGGGATATCATTTTTGAGGATAGTGCTTACAAAACTTCTAGTACTGTAAGAGCTCTCGCTCGAAAAGTGAGAGGGTATATATAGAGATCGAGATATCCATCGGTTTGTTAAGCTTTGAACTATCCATCTACTATCCGCAACTCCTCTTTTACCAATGAATGATTTAATGAGACTTTCACAGAATCTTTCTTGCAGAGTTCCATTGTACACCTCCAATATTAAATTTTAATCAAACACTTATTTCGTGTTTCACAGAGAAAAAAAAACATGGAAACAGCCATTCTTTCTATAATATTAAGGGAAACCCATCTTTTCTCCACAACTCCTCCTTAAGCACAGAATAAAATTTAATGATTCTCTCACAGACAGATTCTGTATTACTAATACATAATGCCATTGTGTACCTCATTTTACTTTTTGATCTATCCCTTATTTTATAATCTCCAAGATGAAATCCACCACTTGTCGGTGGAGAGGTGCACTATATCGACCACAGAACTGCAAAAGTTACCTTCATCGAGACTGTTGAATTATTGTTTCTTCAACTTGTTTGTATGTTACTTATCTCTTTTTAAAAACATGATTGTCATAAAGCCTGCTTGTTAGATAACCATTAAATTCTTTCCTAGTAAATATCCAAATATGAAACATATGTGTTAGATTCTAGATCTGTGGTATCTTTTATTGCAAGCTACTTTGGATACATGTACATGTATATCGTAGCGACAAATGAATAAAAATAACTTTTGTTAATAAAATGCCGTCGATGTATCTAAATATCAAGTTGAAGGCCATAGCAAGTGTCTTCTACTTCCCGTGTTTCTTATGAAAAAGAAAAATAGGTGTACTAATAACGGGGCCCAATCGGTACCAATTGGAATTTCAACAGATGGTTGGAAGACTTGCGCCAAAAAAAAAACAAAAAGATATTGTCATTATTTTTATTTGAAAATAAATTAAAACGCTCATAGTATGTAATATAAAAATAAATTCAAAAGATCATAGTACAGATTGAAAGCTGATATCTTTTCATTGCTAGAATATAATGCAGATACAATGAAACATTGATTTAATTTATACTAATTGAAAGACATTATCCTTTTTCACATAGAAACTTGCAAAACATAAACAACTGCATGCGGCAAATATGTTTCGACTAAATGTACTTAATCGAACTCAATTCTTAACCAAAATATTAGGACTGTAATTGAAATCAGTTCTTAACCAAGATATAAAGTGTTCTCATTCAACACATCGTTATGTTAAATAATTAATATCATTTATATAGAAAAACCAAATGTTTTCATGTGGATTGCAGATCCGTATCTTAATTGCATCATAAACACATCATTTTGCAGAAATGCATTTCAAATTTACACCTTTCATGACAATTGATATTTTTTTCAGACACTACAGCCTGTTTAAATTTCGGAAAGTTACCATTCTCATTATTTGATTTTATGAAGGCCTGAAGTGATCACTGAACATCAAAGTTTTAAGAGCCAGTAAATGAATGAAATATGTTAGGTGTAAAACCACAAAGCGCTGTGAAAATAAGATTGTTCAGTCTGATCTATACAGCTGGGATGTTGCAAAATGCCTGTGGTGTAAAAATGTACACCCTTTCATCAAAGTCAAAATATTTGTTGATTTATTATACAATACATATTTCTGTTTAGGTGATGTTTTTAAGATTGATACATATTTATTAGTCATATTAATTGAAAAATATCATTTCTTCTATTATTCAATGCACCTGTACGTTTTAAAACAAAGAAACGTCTTTCTCAAGCTTTTTCTTCATCTTCCTCAACAGAATTCAAGACATATAAATATAAACACCTTTGTCAATTTAATTATTTGAAATACTTTCCCCATTCAGATATGTTGTTTAACAGTAAGACGTTCCTTGTTCCAATGTAACATATGGAGTTAAGAATATGGAGATAACGAACAGTATCTCAAAGTCCACTAAACAATACAAAATAGGAGCAGAGCACAGACCTCCGAAACATCAGAGGTGGGATCAGGTGCCATGGAGGAGTGAGCATCCCCTTCTGACCGGTCACATCCGCCGTGTGCTACTTGTCATGATCACGGAAAAATCCGTCGTTAATTCAGTGTATAAATAATGGACTAACAATTAGTATGAAAAGCGTCAGTCAGCATCTGACTCAATGATAAATTGTATTTGCTGAAAAGGTCATTGTATCGATCATAAAACTTACGAAATGATGACTTTAAACTAAACTCCTGATATTCTTGTTTCATCAACTTGCTTGTCAATAATTTACCTTGTTTTAGAAATTGTTCATACGTAGAGCATGCTCTTGCGTGTTGAATCAACTGAGATATATATACCTCGTATGCAGGTGATGAAGGTATATTGTTGCATAAGTAAGGGAAGTTGGCGATAGAAAAGTTAAATCATCACGTTTATCATATAAGTTTGTTGTTAGATTCCATTAACGTCTTTTCAAGTAAAATATCCTATTAAACAGATGGTCAGACTCTGTGGTATCTTTTTTCTCAAGCTCACCAGGATATATATCGACGTAGGAGTAGAAATAACAAACAGTATTCAAGATCAAAAGTCAATAAAACAATACAAAATTGGAGCAGAGCAAACAAGGACAAATAAAACAAAGGTCTTCATGTTTTACTGGGTAAAAAATATATAATTTAAACATTGATAATTATTTTGAATAGTATGTTTATTATGAAAATTTTAAATACATGTAATTAGGGAGTTTTATTCTTGATAAAAATGCTTTCATTGCTATGCAGTTTGATATGTATACATGCACTGAACATTAAGACTTAATTAGCTTGCGTTTTCAATAAAAGATATGTAAAAAATATATGCTCTTTACGAAAAGTATTTGAGATAACAAAAACATTTGAAATTCCAGATATTTTGAAAAGCTATCCTCATATTGATCTTCACGGGATGCGGAAGTAATCTGTCAGTTTTATCCTTACAGCATTAGAGCCAATTTATGAATAAAATGTGTTAGGTCTTGGCCCATCAACACTTAGCAAATATTTACGGTAGATGTAAGTGGAAAATCTTGTTTCTGTAATTGTAGGAGGCCGTATGATCTGGAATATTATGGAAGCGTTATCAGAATGAATGAAATTCCGGAAATAGCTAATTAAAATAGTTTTGATCAGCATGATAAAGGAATCTCTCTCTCTCTCTCTCTCTCTCTCTCTCTCTCTCTCTCTCTCTCTCTCTCTCTCTCTCTCTCTCTCTCTCTCTCTCTCTCTCTTGACAAGGAAAGACTATTGAAATGTTCCAAAATAATTTTGAAAAATAACATCAATTGAACAAGCTCAAGACAGCCTTTGCAATCATTTCTCAAAGGTTTTGTATTTGGAAACTTATACTAAGAGATAACACACCAACATCCTGTAATTGTTCATTATGGGCACCTTTGAGGTAAAGAATAAACCCAAACAACATCTTGTACCCTGATAGAGCGTTTAACCAAAGAACAAAATATACAAAGACAAGGAACTTGCCCCCTGTGGTTGCTTGGTACCAATAAACAAGGAGAGAACAAAAAGATACGTATACACCTATAGAGCGCTGTGTCTTTGGCAGATGGAAGATGTACTCCAGGCTTTATTTATAGCCGCCGAGAATCTCACGAAAGGATCAGAGCTGATGGGCTTTCACTCGAAATTAGCTGATATGTCCGACTAGGTTTGTTTTTATGAGTGAGCTGACTGAAGGTGATCAGAAGCATTAGTTTATATGTGCGAAAGTTAATATAGTCAATGATTTTTGGAATATTTATTTACTTAACACAGGTATGTAACAATATTGCACATTTCTTCAGTTTTATTAATGAAAAATATATTATTCTATGCACCATTAGCTTTTTTTTACATAAATTATATTGCCATAAAAATTATATAAAAATCTATGTACTACATGTGTTTGAATTAAAGATATGTATCTTGTAAAAATCACGAATACCTTGAAACCATCCAGGGAAGAAAAATGCTATGGCTGAAAAAATGAAAGAACTATAATATTTGACAAAAAATTGCAATAGGTGACGATCAGGAATGACGTGATATGAATCCCGGAAGTGGTTTGACAGAACCAAGTGTTTCTGGTAACACTTTACGTCCGTATCTCCGCCGCAAGAAGTCGTCATTTGGTGAAACAAAAGTAGCGGTCATTGGAACAGACGGTGTCGGCAAGAGTGGTAAGATTCTCTTGCATGGAAGCCTTTTGACAACATTTCAAGTACCTGCATGTAACAGCATTACATTTCTGTCTACTATCAAACCATCAAAATCTAAATGGTATTGGAAAATACTTTTTAGATATTCGCACCCGATTTTGCTCTTTGTTTTAAAATATACATATAAAGATAGAATAGCTATATACAGGTACATGTATATATTATGCATATTGGAAAGAAATAAGTATACTTGGAATACTATTCATTTTTCTAATTTTAAGGCTATGTATCTAGGAAAGTGCTTAAAACTTAGTTTGTTATTGGATTGTATACCTCGTTGCGCTGTATAATAAATTTAATATACAAATCATCTTTAAATCAATAAGAAATAATCTAATCGTCTTCATACCAGATTCTGCATATCTATGATATGATTTTCACTGAAGAAATGCAGTAGCTTTCGATGATAACCTATTTGTTTAAAAAAAAATCTGAGCATTCCTTTTGTACATCAATAAAAATTGCAACTTTACTAATATTAAAAATATATTCTTTAATTTCTTTCTAACCAATATTCAAATATCATGCAAATACGTTATATTCAGAATTTTCAATATGAAATGATATACTTATGATATGTGCGATTTAATCCAGGTTTTAATATTCAAACATATATTAATTATGAAATTAAACCTCACAAACTAACAAGTGATTTGCAACTTCTAACTGCATGTTCATAAGATAACTGTACTGTTTACTTAAATTATAACAGAAAACGTCCCATTTGAAAATAAATAATTTTAATCATGTATGTGTCAGTTGCATCAGTCAAAGACAGTTTTAATTATATAAACAATGCACGTTTGCAAATTTGAAACAAAATAAGACTGACACTCTCGTGTCAAAAGATAATAGTTCAAACATATGTTAACAGTAAATAATAATGAGCAGCTGGATGATTTCTTAGGATTCTATGTCTAAGCCTTGCGTAAGCTGCAGACTAGGGCTTCTCTACATAACGTACCAACTAACATTCACCCTTCATTAAGGGATACAGATGATATTGAGTGAAAACTGAAGAAACGTCATTAATGAGATTTCTTGGTGTATGTTCGTTATTTTAATTAAACCAATCGGTTCACTTTTGATGAGAATGACCTCCTTTTTGATATATTTACGTCATCAATTAACCTCTTGTGTTCCCTATTGTTTAATTGAAATTTTTATTGGTACATTTAATCACAGGCTTAAGTACAAGTAAGAGCAAGGATTATCTGCATGTAAAATATGCATAAACCATGCTTATTCATGTACCCTAGCTGGTAAGAAGATTTATTGCCAAGAAGCACGCTTTTCATTATAAGAGACATTATTCTAATGTAAGGCATTAGAAATAAAGATTTTGGAAACGGTTTGTTTTTCTTTTATATAACAATAAAATGATAATTCACAAACACAGTTCTTATCCTTACACAGAATGGCACATAATGTACAATGTAGGAGGAATTTGCTCTACACAAAACGTCTTCATTTAAAGATGTTTGTTTAATCAAAAACAACACGTGAAAAGATCTTCTTTAAGCCAAGGATTGGAGGAACATCACATAGTTTAGCAAAGAAAATGGGAAGAATGAAAGATATAAATAAGAAAATCATTTAAATGCGTGAAGATTTTTTGGTTATTACTATGTATGATTATAGTTAATTACCGTAGGATTAACAAACAGAAAAGTCTTCAAAATTAACGAGAATGATGTAAAGCAAACAAATATAGAAATACACATGGTTGAAAAAAAAACAACTATTGTTCAAATTGTTGCGTTTCACAAAAGAGACACAATTTTAACAGTGAAACCATAAAGTGTGTGTCATATGTAGAATTGAAAATATATTTTGTATAATAGTATTCCTTTCGCAAACATTTTCTATGAACGTCTTATATACAAAATGAAAGCTAATCATGTTCATTTAGAGAAAAAAAACAAACTACATGGCATCAACAACCTAGAGTTCATTTTTACGTAAGATAAACAATGTGAATAAAAACGAGAGTATCTTTCCTGACAGTTACGACTGACATGACGCTATATCTGCCCCGTCTGTGACTATTACGTCATAATTGATAATGTCGATATGCCCTATGCATATGTATTAAAGAAGATAGTGTAGAGCACATGCATTATGCAAGATAAAAAGAGGGCAAGTTTTGAGCGATATACCATCTGTCATTTTTACATTGCCAGGATTCTGTCAAATCTATTCCAAATCAATATCAACATTGATCGAGCCTAAAACACAAAATACTACAATCCCTTCTGTCTGATTTTCTTTTGATTAACGATTCATTGGTTCTGTAGCAAAGTGAAAAGAAATCATAAATTGTATGTTTATACGCCTACATAGCGTTTGTAATATCAGTTTGTTCTTATCTACTTATCACATTTAACATCTTTCAACCTTTGGTTTTGTTGCTTTTGCTACAAACTAGAGGCATAAAAGATTATTTTTCTTGTAAATTTTTGTATTTGTATCAATCATATTCTGGCAAGCAATCAATTTGTAGAAATATATCTCGGTTACTATGTGTAAAATGTGTAGGTAATACATTGAAATTATCATTCCGAGGTGTCTTTCCAATCAATAAAATTCGGGGCAAATTTACATGAAGATAAAAGTAACGATTCAATCGCACCAGTCTGATATATTTTTATAGCCGATTTTAAAATGAATGGAATATCCTGTCATTCCTACAGGAGAAGTAAAAGTTTAAAAAAGATAAATCTTGATTTTTGATTAGACAAAAGGAACATTTATAAATACACTGTACATTTGTCGATTTGCCAATGTAAAGAATATGTAGATACTTGACTTAATTATAATCAAATGAGGTGTTAAATATTAGATACCTTCTCTACCATCGGACACATTTAGTTCATAACACTGCAGTTCTTTGATAACACATGCTAGGTTTTGTTTGTAATTTTTTCTGAAGGACTTTTATCTTTTTTTTCTGTATTAGAAAAGCTTGATTTTTTCATCGACCTTGGTGTTGTAAATAACATTTTTTATCGAATTTTTTTACGCAAATCCCAAAAAAATCTTTTGCAAAAATGAAACATGAAGTTTGATCTTATTTTATTATTTAGGAATGTCAGCAAGATATCCAAGGTCAATTCAAGAGGTCAGCACTACTGTATGATAGAACTTCTATTTTAATTATGAGAAAATTTTTTTTTGTTCTGATGTAACTTAATTCTATAGCATATTTAGGAGAGTGAAGACATAGAAAGTTATGTTTCAATCAAATGTAAATTGAGTAACACATTGAATCTAAACGAATGTTCAATTCATTAATTGCAATAAGTGAATAGGGATGTCGAATAGGAAAAACTGAAGAGCTTGGTGATGAATAATTTTGTAATTTAAGAATCCCAAGGCCATGTTAGAAATAGAATGGACACAATAAGTAAGATATCAGGGTTTATTAAGAGTTTTTCTGACAGAAGGATATATATTAATTTTATTATATAAAAAAGCAATGAACGTCACACGAGTCGTATGCTAAAAAAGTAACTTTAAACATACGTTTGGGCTCATACAATAAGGTTCAAGCCGAAAAATTTTCCTATACTGCTAAACTTTATCTTTGATAAAATTGAAATTCAAAGAAATAAAACGTGCATCCTAACAAAGATATTTTAGTAATTTAAATACGTAAACACAAATACCATCGATATGTAATTTGACGAGCAACTGATATTCTGTTTTATCTTAAGACACCATATACTAACGTGTTGACTTGTTTTTACTTTTATTGTTGTTGGCAGTTTTCTTTTAATGATAATATCATACTATCTAGAGAAGAAACTTTGAAATATTAACATGATAAGACACCAGAATTTTTGAGATCCTGTTACTGTATAGTTAGCTTTGCTTGACATTGCTTTCGTTAACCCTATGTTTACGCAGCTACTTGGAATGTTTAAGTAAAAATATCATATTTAATTAGTAACTTGTGTTTTTTAAATTTCTTCTCAGGTCAGATAATACAAATATATAAGTCTACATATTGGTGTGGAGTACTTTAAACTACTATATTGAATACACAGTGTCTTTTGTAACATTTTATTTGAGTTAAGTATGATAACATTTATATTTGTCCTTTTCCCCTTGTAGCACTATCCGTGAGATTCCTGACGAAGAGGTTTATAGGTGAATATGACCAAACAGTTGGTGAGTGAATATATTCATGTTTTTCTGTAGTTCTACATCTTCTTGTTATTTGATTAGAATGATAGATACCTACCTTGCCTAATGCCCATCAGGCAGCTTCGTTGATAGGTGTATTGCTTATCTACAAAGATACCTCACTTGTTTTTCTTGGAATTGTTGTTGTATGCATGGATGACCGTTGAGTTTTATTTTACTCAGATCGGTTCACTTTTAAAACTTTGAGTGTGCGTAAATTTTGTCAGAGTGCTTTACTTTGAAGAACAACTGATTGAAAGATTGAGCTGAAAATCCGACAAGAAAGTATTATCTATAGCCTACACTTTTCACGCTCGGCATTTTTTTAAAAACAAAAATCACTGAAATGAATTGCATGAATATTTTGAAAACTTTTTTCATTGGCATAAATTTGTGTGTTCCTAAGTGTGAATGACCTTTATTTCTTTTATCATACATGGATCAAATTGCATTTATCTGATGTAAAAGTGTAAAAGCTTGTCAGTTTTTTTTCAAGATCGATTTATTCTTAAGCGGCAATAGATCACATTGCTTAAAATGGGGGTTTATACTTGACTGACAAGTAAAATGTCGATGAAAAGTGCCTTCGAGTTGCGTAAAAGCTATTTCACACTACGATCTTCTGTTAATAAAGTGTTTGAACTTAATGAATAGGCTGCACTTAAGCGGTGCATTCTGTTATGTGGGGTTGCCATGATTTCAGTAATTAGGGAAACCTCTTCGCTCTATTATCTAATACAGATAGTTAAAGAAGTATAAATTCTGAGCATTTTTATTATTGGAGTTACTGTATTGATTTGGTGTATAATTTGATCGTTTCAGTGCAAAATGTGGGGTTACATTTTTGTGAATTTTTTAAGACACTTCTAAATATTCTATACAAATTTTGTTTCCCATCTACAGTACGTTGATGACGTTTCACTTGTGAGCAATATTAACTGATTATAAGATACTTTTTGTATGTTGCACGAGACAAACAAACAGAGCGCTTGCCTGTATACGAACATTTTCAAACAAATTAAGTAAAATATTTGTTCTCACTTCAATGTGGATGAAATTAATTTTTTTTAAGCTCTTAATTTTGTTTTAACTTTGTTAAACTTAAATCTCTTTTTTTGATTTCAATACTTGTAAGGCATTGTCATAAACGAAAACCGAAAAATCATAACCAGACAAAAACTAAATAAAACAAGTGCGTACAGTGTAATGATTTCATGCAGAAATGATGAGATTAAAAGACAGTAATTTTCTTTATACTTCACTTGCAGCTCAGTATTGCCTTGCTTTGCTATAAAGCTGCAAACAATATGTACGACTATGTGAATATTATGGGAAATTTCACAGCAACTAATTACAGTTATGCCACAAAACACACGTTTCTTTAGAAAAAACATCGGGATAGGGTACAGAAACATACATCGTTTATTACAGCAGAAAAGCACATTATTCTAGACTAATGTTTATTATAATAATAAAAGTTATTATCTCTTTTACAGAGTCCAAATATAAATACACTACAACAATAGACGGGGATACGATAACATTCGAAGTACTGGACACTGTGTCGGAGGTAATTAACTATCACGATCTCCTAGTTTTAATATTTTTAATACAAACTGGATGAAAAACTTGAACATATTGAAATTCAAAATTTTGAAACTAATAATTCTGAATATTTGATAATTCCTAAATATATGTATGTTTTCAACAATTTAGAAATATAATGTTTAATCGGTGTTTTATAAAATGCCACTTTTTAATTTATGTTTAGCATACACAATCATTAGAGCCTCTAAGCCTTATCTCTTTTGGGCATTTTCAGACATTTAGCATAATTCCCTCTCTGTATGAATTTTTAAAAACGAGTGTAAAACAAAATCAGCAAATCTGCAATTTTAAAAATTAAGAAAATCAATTAAGATTCACAAAAAATGAGTAAAGAGGATTTTCCTGTTAGTAAAATTATTGAAAAAAGGAAGCACTTGCTTGTTCATTCAGTGCAATTACTTTCTTTATCCTCATTTGATTGTTTCTCCCAGTGCATAATTCAAAAATATGCTAGTTATTGAACATACACGTAATTACTCTTATCCCAAATTTTCATTTTTTGTGCATTGCTGTATGAGATTAAGATGCTACTAGGAAATTTGAGAAGCTTCTATGTGTGTGTGAGTAGCCAGATGTTTAAAAAGAATGTTCACCGATTTCCTACCCAAATTTACATTTACCTCAAATTGTTTGGACAATAAAGCATATTCATAATAATTTAAATTGTTCCACTTGTACCTTATATAAACCTGTACTCGGGATGTTACGGTAAATTCATAACTGCTTAACAAAAATATATTTGCTTTAGACGCTGATATCTAATCTTACTTGAACGTATCTATTAATAAAATAAATAAACGAACAGTTTTTAAAAAGAGAAATCCATTCAAGCAATACAAATCAGGTCAGAGCAAACAAGGTCCTCTAAAACATCAGAGGTGGGATCAGGTGCAATGGAGGTGTGAGCATCCTCTACTGACAGGTCAAATCCGCCGTTTGCTCGTTATCATGATCAAGAAATTACGGGAAAAAATCTGTTGACAATTCAGGGTATAAATAATGGTCTAATCAACTAGTTAAAAATTGCAACAAGTATACATTTACAGATTAAATTGGCACAAGGATTTTGTTGTACTTCAGAATGATGACTGTGGAGCCCGTGATGATGTTTTAAGATGGGCGGATGGAGTCCTAGTCGTGTACTCAGTGGTGAGCAGGGATTCTTTTGACATAATACAAGAGATTAGGAGAAGAATCGACGAAAATAGAAAAGGCGCAAGCATTCCAATGGTACTTTTAGGAAATAAATGTGACCTTGCTCACATGAGAAAAGTCACCCAGGATGAAGGTAAGGTAGAATAGATCCTAGTACACATATTACATTGTCCCAGTGGAAAGGATTAATGATATCTTAGACCTAAAGCTGTTTTATGTCTATGATGATATCAATTACAGTTTACGTTTTTTTTCCCCTTTTACTGCTGTATTTGGAAACAAGGTCGTTTTATCATATTATTTTATGCATAGAATTGCATTGTAATGTAAGTTTAAGCAATACATTTTATTTGGTAGGACAACGTTTAGCCAATGAAATGGGGTGTCCTTTTCTCGAAGTTTCTGCCTCTGAAGATGTTGACACAGTGACCGAGGCATTTCTTACTTTGTCACGTGAGGTTGTAGATTTCAAGAGGCGTTCCCGGACTTTCTTTGACAGAGTTTTTGGTGCGTTTGGAAGAGAAAAAGTATCGACTTGATTCACTTGTCTTTCACGTGTTTGAAATATGATGGAAGTGTTTACAGTTTTTATTGTGTTTTTGTTTTTTATGTTGTTAATGTATAATAGTTTTCATTAAATATATCTTGTTTTGATTCTTTGTTCTGCTGTTTTATTTTTGCGATACAGATGTTGATTCAAAATAAAATCCTGTGCATAGTAACCATGGCAGTAACATCATAGTTTTTACAATTTCTATCATTGTATATTTTTCACATATATCTCCTATTTTATATTCTACAATCATTAAAAATATTAATACCAGTCAAACTAACTTACTTTTACGCATAAAATAACAATTATACTACTTTTTAGTTTTCAATATGTTTGAAATATTTGCAGAACTATTAAACAGATGGTGTATGTTAAAAATATTTATTAAGACTATATAACAAATTTTGCTCGCAAGCAGTATATTTCTTATCATAGCGTTTACATTTTACACATTTATAATATGGATATCACCATTGAGCGCGCTCTTGATAATTACAGACTTAATAATTAACGAAATAAATATGAATTGATTAGGAAATCATTAGTATACAGACCTGCTTGAACATTGCAAATCAGATGAAATAATGTGTTCATAATATAGGAAACACATCTGATAAAAGCAGTATTCACATTTGAAAATGTACTTTGACATAATGATACAGTTTATTATTACAAAAAAAAATGCCGTTGGGGTTATGATTGCATTTTTCGATTTAACTGGATCCCATTTTGTCAAAATATTCTTTTAAAACCATTTTTAGTACTTTAGTTAATTTCAGATCGAAATTGTCTTACCTTTCTCTATCCAGTAAATTATACAAAATTTATACTGGGCAAAGGCTATATCTAGATTTTTTTCAATATATTAACATGCCCAAGTAATTTTCCTAAAGATTCTTTCCAAATAGGAACTCGAGACTGTTTATTGTCTCATGAACTATCAGTAATGAGCATGAATATATCCTTTGTTACATGCTAATTCCATACTTAAGGTCTAAATAAAGTGCAAACAATTTTGCTTTAAAAATAACAGTTGTTTGGGGCAATTCATCAGAAGAATTATGTGAATATAAGAATTCAATTTTTTGAAGATTCAGGAGGAAATGAACTACACCGCTTCACACTGGTATATTTATCATGAAGAGCTATGTCTTAAAACAACTAGAAGAAGTGAAAGATCGCTTGGTATTGGTAACGAAAAGTAGTCAGGATTAAGGAACAAGGTTCACTAATGGCCTTTTTGGCCCTGTGGATTTCTGAAAAAATTAAACTGCCTTAGTTTTAGTTACAATGCATTTAATATCATTTAGACCTTTAGTGAATGTCTATCTATCAGAAATGACGTGAATTTCTGGCTAGTCAACGTATTATGACGTACGTCACGAAATGCGTCCAAAAGGTGGTCTTTGAGAGGAAAATTTGTAATAGGAAATTAAAGCACTATGTTCATTCTTTATTTTAATGTTTAAAATGGAACATAAAGTGTTTGTCAATAAATTGTTATATTCAAATGGTTGTTTTATGCATAAAGTGAACCGAACTCTTTCCCTGAAAATAAATATATTTTAAAGAGATCTAGAACAAGAACAAACCTTTAAAATATCAGAAGTGGGACCAGATGTCAATAAGGAGTAAGATTCATTTTTCGATTGCCACTTATCGTGAAGTATTTCAGTTGAAAAGTAATTGAGGAAGATAAAATTACTTGACACATGAGTATATACTTCATACATTTTTTTGCATTTTGACCCATTCTTACTACAAACAAAGCCAATGATACGAAGAGACATAACTCACATTGTGTCTGATATACGAGCATTGTATGCTTGATCTTACCGCTCATACAAGAGTTATCTATCCTGGTCTTTAATTTAGAAATCTCTACTGGAGATTTTTTTTCTATACGCAATATTAGCTTGTCCCTGGAAAACTGAACACTTTTCATATAAAATTATGTGCAACTTGTATATTAGCTCACAAGCTTGCACGGAAACAGTCTAAAATTTCCTGACAATTGCATTTACCTTAGAATAGCACTTAAGATACTCTGTCAACCTTCTTAATAAGGTATAATTCATCATATGAACCCTATCCCTCGTAAGAGGAAGTCCAGGATAAACTGGAAATGTAAATTATTTGATGATACATTTCTTAAAAATAATACTCATGATTTAAAGAATTCTAAAATTAAAGAAATGCATTAACATTTAATTGAATCAGATAAAAATTCCTGGCAAACATCTATATGAATAAATTTCGGGTATTTACATGAGTAATACTATATGATTTATCTGATTTAACAACTGAGCAAAATGTGTCTAATTATTAACCGTCTGCTGTACTATTAGAATTTTTTTTTTAACAATTATTTCTACGGATATAGTTTTAGAAATATTTAGCAAAGTAATTTCGAGACAAACTTTTGTTCAAGTAAGCATATTTGTTTTGACATCCCTTTTGAGAATTTGTCAATCATATCGCGACGTTTAGACCTGTACTCGGCAATAACAATCTTGAGAAATGTGGGGGTTTTTTAGTCTCAGCACCTACTGTGACACAGGACCTTGAGTTATTAGCCCCTTCCAAGGAACTGGTCTCTACGTCATGTAGAGCTCGCTCCGTGTTCGGAAGGTTGTGAGTTTGAATCTCGGCCGCGACTGACCTCAATCGATAAAAAAAATTGGATAGCAACTGTTTCTTTGCCATCTGGAAGTTAAAGTTGCGAGTCCTTTGGATAAGACCTTAAAAACCGAGGTATAGTGTCGCGGCAGACTTGGCACGATAAAAAAAATCCCTAACTCCTTAATAGCCATGTTTGTCTAGTAAAGGTAAAAATTTGAAGCCCATCACCAGTATATGTTAAGGTCCCTATATGTGTGAAATATTCGAAGAGACATTAAACAACATGCAATCAGTCTACATCATGCAACAGATTCAAACCCTCGACTTAAGGATTAACTCCTTGTCCTTACTCAAGAGAGAAACCTGACAGTGTGTTTTTGTGTAAATATTTTGTAAAACTATTTAGGAATGCTGTTTATCACAAACGTTTTCGTAAATAATCAGTTTGCATTGTAACAAAATTGTCTAACCATCTGAATTAATGTTTTTAATCCAGCTGTAGAAGTGAATGAAAGAATTAAATTGTATGACGCAAGAAAGGAAATGGTGCAAAACAACAGCACAAGAAAGTGTTCCTCTACATCGTGCTTATCAACACCTGAAATCAAACTGAGAATTTCTCAGCTAAATTCAGCTTAAAAACTGACAAGGAGAACTCTTAAAACTAAAATGCGCTGACAATGCATTTGAAACAAAATACCAATCGTAAACAATGACACCTTTCACTTTCTCTTTCTTTTATAAATTTAAGTTTTTATCACCGATTTTATTGATTATTTTTCCAAATAAAATCTACGGCATCACTTTGAGTTCAGATCACCTATTGTCCTAGTAAAAGCTTTGAAATATCTTCAAGTTGTCTGGAAGATGTCATCAATCTGAAATATGTGTCAGATAAATCTGATAATTATGGGCTCCAGTTTCTTATCAAAAGCATTAATTTGATTTACACTGAATTTGTTGACGTCTTTATCATCTTGTTCATTTCTCCTCTTTTGAGTAGTTTAGTAGAATTTAGAAGATTTATGAAATTGGATTAGAATGGAATTTGTCTTTGATTAAGATTAAGATTAAGAAGAAAATTCCTGCTGAAGATTAACTTTCTGTATAAAATATATCCATGTGCAATTAAAAATACATTCAAAGTACATGACTTCAAAGGAAAACATTTTCAAATTGTTTAATAATTGCGTAATATTTTTCCACATATTTGTCAACCACAAAGTTGTCATATATTTTTATTGTGCTTAGGAATACACAATTCAGCACATTTTACTGTAGTATCAGATGTTGTCGATACATCTTAACACATAATTTATTAATATCCTAAAGCAACACCGTTGGGAGGAGAAGTACTCTAAGTGTGATTGCACCCCTTTTTGTATTGTAAAAAACATCAACGTTTTATTGTCGGTTTATAATAATGTTACCAGATTTTGTTTAAATATATTGTTTAAAAATGCCTTCATATCAGAACATGTCACTTTTTTCGTGAAAAAGAAGGCGACATTCTTTACCACACAAGCTTTTACAGAAAAAATTGAGACGGTTACAAAGAAGCTTTCATTCGAAGAATTACTTGAATAAACATAAAAGTGTGCTGATGTCTTGGATTTTTTTCAGATGATAAATGCGTATGTGAAAAACAAAAGAAACAAAAAACTCCATTGTGTCATTTGTTCTAAATATGTGTTGGCTGTTAAGTGGGTAAAAGAACCGTCTCTTAGGATTAATCAATGAACCATGGTATGTTATCATTATTCTGATCCCCATATCTACCAATGGGATTTTTTTTTCGAAACTTCTCTCACAATTCCAGCAATTGGTTCGCCATCTTTAGGAATATATATGGTGATGTCCCCTATATATATAGTTTGTGATGTGTTTGTAAAACAATGTGTTTGTATATGTGTTTGCAAAAAAAAATGTTGCTAGAATTCCTCTAACATTATCATACGTCATTAGTACATATATATCATATTACATTTTGTTTTTTTGCTTTTGTGATTTCCGTTGAGTTAACTTTTTACCCGTATGTGATTTATATACACCCAGCCTTCATTTCAGCTCTGTAAAAATGAACCTCTTATCACGATCTCTGATACTTCGTCATACATCGAAAAAAAATAAGTGCATCGTATGCCTTTAATAATCAAAGATAATTACCACCAAATTATACGGAATGCAGGTGTGTCAAATGTACATGTAGCAAAATATAAGAATAGCACTTTTCTCTGATATAATTATGTAGTTTATTGTTTCACATGTTTACCTATAAAGATTTGGTAAAAATAATAATGAACCAATAAAAAAAACTACAAATTATACTTATTGGCACCTAAAAACCTAACAATATACGAAAATAAAGAATGTGTACAGTTTACAATATAATCTTAAGCGTTTTGTCAGATTTCATTTTTTGGCACTTAGCATTTCTTTAAGCAAGTGAAAGTACTTAAAGGTATATTTCGTTATCACA